GGCTCAGTTTGAGGGGGAATGTTAAAAATATAAATTTACAGTCCGAATCAACAGAAGACCTCTCTGAGTAAGAGGAGTCATAAGGGTGGCTGGAGTGATAAGGATGTCTTACTCAGTAAATCGATAATTACCATGTTTGGTAACAAGTCTGTTAAAGATTGACTCTGTCTTGTAAAACTGTTATTCACTCAGCCTTGGATTAATCACGTCAAGAAAACATCAAGGCTAGGCTTCTACAACTGCCGTTGTTATCATCAAAAGATCATCTTCATTACTGATTTTCATTCTGTATTTTTCTATCCTTATCAAACGAGTTAGTTATTGACAGAGAAGCTGTAATAGTTTATAAATAGAGTCCTTGATGTACTACTGTTAATTGAGATGAATACAGTACAAAGTGTAATTCAGTTTTTTCATTCGTGTGTTTTCTTCCTTTTTAATTAGGAGTTCTGGAAACTTGGTTTTTAGCTGAAACTATATTGTAGTAAATCCTACTACTGTACAATATTTATTCAACGCGTTTATTTGAACAGTGGAGAGATGGTCCTTTTTGACTTTGTTATGTAATCTCATGGTTGTATTAGCTCTTACCAAATTACATTTCCTTCTTAGTGAAACGTTGAAAATGCCAAAAAAAGATAACGCAAAAACGCGCAGAACAGAAGCTGTGAGTGCAGAAAAACAAGCCACAAGGAGGGAGGGCTTTTGCTCCTCAAATTTCACTGAATCAATTGCTGAACATACAAATAAACCAGAAGACACAAAATTCTATATTCACTTGCATTTTTGTTATGAAATGAAATAGATTCGGACACCCCAAAAAATGAACAAAAAGTATAATTAAAAAAAATCAGACTCACAATAAACAGTGGAAGACATGTAAACATTTGAGTCAAAAAATGGCGTACAAGGTATACCATTTTGTCTTGTAGAAATTAAACAACAACAATACTCCAAAATGAAATCTATTGTATTAACTCCACAAACCACGAACCAATGCAAACTTCTCAACTCTCAACTCTCAAACAGAAACATAAAGGAACACAACAAAAATAAATCTATCACTCATGATCTCCTACACACATAAGAGAAGGTGGAATTAATGGAGAAGGGCCATGGTGGAATCTCCACTGCGAACATATTACATTCAAGCATTTCATCCAGAATGTTGTATGGACAAACTTGTTCAAACTTCTTGGTCGATATGTTGCACGATACCGTTCCAAATTTTGGCCCCAAAATTCAAATACATCACATTTGGATCGGTTGGATGGCATGATACGATCGAGCTTACTGATTCTTATGGGAGAGTGAATACCACCTTCACCATCTGCAATATCTTCAATCTTGATACTATGTTGAAGACGCCAGTTGTTGCCGTCATCTTGTAAGTTCCCATATTTTCAACCAAGACTTATCCCTACCTTTTCCTCCATTCTTCTGAGCCGCCCTTGATAAACACCGCATATTGAATCAAAAGAAAGCCACTTATCAGATCCGTTACGTGGATTTGGATGTTCATGGGAATTCAATAATGCCAAAATGATCAGGGTTGGCATAATGATCATAGGCTAGAATTTTACTTTCAACATCACCGAAGTAAAAGCCATGGCTAAATTTTCATCAGTGGCCCAATAAATAGTGTTGTTCAGAACAACAGGCCTCCTCGAATGGAGGAACCCTTAAACGGTACCCTGAGGAGCTCCCATCTCCCTGTTTCTGAAGAAAATATATTTACATCAAAGCAACGATGCCCAGGAGAAAGTAGTATCACTTTATAACTGGTCAAAACTCCTTGAGCTTCGTTCACTTGGGCAATGAAGCAAACACCTTCTTTGGTTAACCGAGTGTTTGGTTGGAGGCAGGGGAGGGAGGCTAAGCCGCTGATGAGTGGTGGCGCTACAAATGTGAAATCCGCCACTGCATGTCCAATAGTCAGCAAAATCCCCGATTACATTCACCAACCACCCGACCAGAATTGATTATACCAACCAAAGGCAAAATTCACAAAATCAATTTGTAATAAACTACAATAACAACCAGAGAAGACATAAAATTCATATTTTTAATTAACATCATTTTACAAAGAGATTGATCAAGATCTCACACTGAACTAGGAAAAATACCTATGACCAAATAATACCTCCAAACTTCGTTATCATTCAGTGTTGGCTGATTCCAGCTCGTAATTGAAAATTTTCTTCTCAAAAAAAAAAATAATAATAATAATAATACCACTCAATTAATAACTACAACCTGTTTGGTCTTTTAGGGAGGGAAAAAAAAATACCACGAATAACGTGAATTCTTGAACTCTATAGCACAATCCACGAACAAATGCAACCTTTTTGACTGGCAAACACAAGCACAGAAAACGAACCAAATTAACTAAAAATGTGGTTCAAGCTTGTGGCACTAACCATCGATTAAATGAACCTGAGAAAAAAATTCATTGTCAATTGCTATGGTGCAAAGTAACCATCCTGAGAACCTCTGCCACAACCACCATCGCCGCCACCGCCAGCCATTCCTCCGGTTCATTCGATTTCCATTTATTTAATTAGAAGAAACGAACAGAGCAAAGGAAATTAAAACAAAGTTGGTGGGAAATAAGACGGAGCAGCCTAATGATTGATGGGTCTGTTTTGCTCCACATTTTCACCCCGCACCAATTTCTTTCGTCTCACAGCTGCTTCTTTTTTTTCTTCCTTTTTCTTTTTTTTTTTCTTGTTTTTGTAATCAAAAAAATACGAGGGTAAAGATTTTATTTTTGAAAAGAAAGAAAGAAAAGAAAATATAGTAAATCCAGTTTATCCAAAAGAATATTATATCTAATTATATACTCCAATTTATTTCGTGTAGCTTACCAACTTTAGATATATTATTATTCGTCAACTCATTACGATTTCAATTTCGTAAATACGACAATTTTCTTAATAAATTCATTTGCGGCAACAAATAGGAGAGATTAAATATTTCCTAGAACGAAAACGCAAATCTAAATCCAGTTCATCCATTAGACTTGCCTGGTAAAGAATGTTGAAGGATGCAGAAATACAAAAGCGTGAGAGATATGGCACCAAGTAAACAAGCTAATAATTAGGGGAACACGAGCAATACTAGAAAATATTTTTAAGTTTTTTTTTTTTAAATAAGAAAGACATCTTCCATAAAATTTAACATAAATCAAAATGTCTTATAATGAGGATCGAAGAGGACACTTAATTCAACGAATTAAATTTGACACGTGATCAGTGTAGCATATTTCATATTTATTAGAATTTAAAGATGTTACAGTATATAGTTTAATATCAATTCACGAAATGTTATCGTAACTTCTTCTTCTAGTATATAGTGGGAGGCAATGCATTCCTCAACTAGCTGAAAAAGTTTCCACTAGGATTCAATTATGCTCAGAAGCCATGTTTCCCACCAAGTACAGCTTTATTGCACTCTTAAATAGAGCAAACAAGTTTAGACATGACACTGCTCTGTCTTGAGTGGTTATTCTCCTATGTATCAATATCGCACTGGTGACAAAGATGAGAACCACTAGGTCCAGTTTATTAACATTTTTCATTACTTGTGATAACAGCATACACTTTGAGGTAAAGCTGCAAGATGCAGTAGTGCAGAAGCTCATTGCGAAATTTCCATGTTACACTTGTGATTCTCTTATATACAGGTAAAAGAAAAATTCACAAGAAAATAAAGTTTACCACCTGTAATAAAGCAATTATCAAGGCAAGACCTTTTTCACTTGAAATGTAGAAACTCATTAATAAAAAGCACTGAAGAGAAGTTTCCGAGAAGCTGTTATCATGCTAATGACTCGTACCAATTTTAAACTTCAATAATTTACAACTCGAAGCACATGTTCAATTAAAACCACGCTGACAATCTGAACAACTTATATCTAATCTATGGACACCACAACAATATCCAAGGCCTCTACATGACTAATTGTCTAGCCTTAAGCATGCACATCACAAACTGCCTAGTACATTCACTAGTTTAAAATGAGCTACATACATCACAGGCAAAGGAAAATGAACAACTAGAGCCACACAGACAATTCAACCCGCCATTAGTTAAAATGCAAAAAGCTGTTGTAGTGCTCATGATCTTAAAATTCTTACCTTGCGCAAGGCTGTCGCAAGCTCTCCTCTAGTGAAACTTGCAGTAGCGGCTGTAGTCAACGGAATGCCAATACGGAACTGGTACAAAGGCCACATTTTTCTGAGCATACTCGGATACTCTGTAAATTGAACCCTGCCACCGCGACAAGAAAGATAGAAATCACACAGATGCTGTCCGCTACCACCAGAGCAAACCCTTTTCTGACTTGCCCGAAAACACAATCCATTGTAATTCTCTATCAGCTAATTTTCTCAACCCCAACCTTTTTGTTTCAAATTGTGTTGGGCGGCTTTTAGCTGAGGAGGTCTAATAATACTGACGGCTTGGGGAACAAGACGGGTTAGTTCAACTTCAACCGGGTCCCCCCATGATGATTTATGAAATTATTGATTAATCTTTAACGTTTGAAATTTTTTTCAATTGTACCCTTTGACCAAATTAGTCCATAAGTTCAGATTGATGAAAAAGTATACAAATAGTGCAAAAAGCACCTATGGCCTTCTATAATACCCATCCACTTATAAAATTATTGACATTAGTTTAGAAATATTTATTTTTCAAAAATTTAAAATATATATAGATGTCGCAAAACTATTCTGAGTTTTGATTATACGTTTTGTATTATTTTCATTTATTTATAAAATGTACACGTATATGTTCTCAATAGGGATAGGTAACATTCACATTTAACCAGAACAAGAGCCTTGGTTGACAGTTTACAAAATTGTTTATAATTCTTTTTCCTTTAGTTAAAAGAAGTGTTGTTTTTAGGATTTCTTTTCCATCAATATTTTTGATAATTAAATTCATATAAGTAAATTTCAATAAACAAAAAATTGAAACACTTCAAACATGTATAATAATGATTCAATATTTTTGTTACATTCCTTGTAACACATAACAACTTGTAAGTTGTTGATAAAAGATAAATAAAAACTGTGTGTGGAGTACACAACTAGTTATAATGTGGAGGGATTTGTAGTGACTAAAAAAATGGCAAATATAATGAAACTCAAAATATATATTGAGCATTAATTTTGTTATCTCTATTTATAAATGGATGATTATATTAAGGAAATTGCATTGCAATTGTCGTAAGATCAGCCGTGACATTCTTCTGTTCATCATCGCGGTGATAATAATACGTGACATCTGGCCGATCATTATCGCCGCCCGGGGCGGGACAAGTAGGCGGTCCGACGGGCGGACAAGGTGCCCCGTTCTTGAACTCACACCGACATCTATAAAAGAGTATTCCTCCGCCCGGAGCAACGCAGGAAAATTGAACTACGCCGATGCCGCGGTAACACGGCTCACAAGTTTCACCGCATGCACGTAAGTCCGGGCATCCTCCACCAATTGTATCGAAATATGAGCAAGAATCCTTTGTCTCTATCAACTTCCCTGCAACATTAGCATGAAGAAAATATGAGCAAGTTATAGTATTCCCTCTGTCCCAAAATTAATGCCTAATTTGAGATTTCATTTTTAGTATAATTCGAACTAAAAATAAAAACTCAAACTGGATAATAATTATGGGATGGAAGGAGTATTTGGTTTTTTTACTTCATCTATCTTTTTATATGGTCTACAACTTTTGTATTAGCTATAACATTTAATAAAAATGACTCTTTAAATGAGAGGAATGCGCATTTGTTCAGATACAACGATTTGAACACAAAAGCCTGTGAAGTAATATGAAATCATACCTGCAATCACAAGAAAGAAGAAAACGAAGAAAGTTGAGCGCCTAACCATTGGAGAGATAATATTCACTCTTGAGCCTATGAATTAATCAACGTGAAAGAAGATTTTATGGAGTTGATTAAATGGTGATTGATGATTGAAATTGATTTGTTTAGATCGACTAATAAAGCCTATATATCTTACACGTAAGAAATACTACATAGAAAAAAAATCCCAATTTAGAAAAGATTGAAAGAAAGAAAGGATGTATCTAACCACCTATCTTGTCTATTATCGGACCTTTGAAAAATATGATGACTCTTACTCGTTTTTTTTTTCCCCTTTTACTATTATCATCCAAGGAACAAACTCTTGTTTTGAGAAGACAAGAGTGTCAATTATACAAGTCCAAAATGTTGCTTTAATTTTAAAATCGTTAAGAAATGAACGGAGAAAGTTGTTTGGGTTTGTTTTAGTCCGGGAATGACTTAATTAATCACGCTAGGATAACAAATTTATTATTACTGAAATCCTTTTATAATAATGGTAATATCTGATGGCCTCAGGATATGCATTTTATATATGAGCCTATTGATTTTGCACTGCAAGCCTTATCATTTGATGAAATGCCTCCTTGATTTTTATGTCATTCATGATCGTTAATTCACCCTTGATCATAGCTTCTTCTCTCTCTCTCTCATTCTTCCCCTATTCAACCCACAAACTTGATAGGAAATCAATAGGTGAATGTAAAGGAAACGAACAAAGTAAATGAACACCAACAAAAAATTTGCCCCAAGAATCGGGTCTTGCATCATTTGCAGCACCGTGCACTAAAACTCGCCCAAGCAAGGCATATGAATTTACTCACGTTTCCTTGAACAAATAAAGGTTTATTATATTATTTCAGTTCGATAAATATGTGGCTTGTTGTTATTTGGACGGAGAGATTATAAGTGTAGATTAATACGGTGTTTTCAATATCAAAAGATAGGAACGTGAGATTCAACTATTTTCGCACAAGCAGTTTTGAGGTTTATTACTCTTTACGTGTTAAAATTATTTTCCAATTTGAATTTTCACTTTTAATAAAAATGAAAAACTCAAATTGGAGAATAATTTCGGAATGGAGAGAGTAATTTTATACTTACAAAACTAAACCTTTTAACCAGAAGCGAAAACCTGGGCTGAGTGCTGGCATTCTCTTAGTTAGTGAACTGGAGAGATGAAGATATCAGGGTTGTAAATGTAATGTCGTAGTTATGGTACATAGTTACCTCTTTACGGTTATGTGTATTATATATATGTTGGATAAACACTAAAGCTAAACACGGTTTTTCTGGGCTGAAGATTTATGCCGGCCATCTCCTATTTCTTCCTTTACATGGTATCGAGAGCTTAGGTTCGCAATTAGAAAATAATTTTTTAGTTGCAATATTTCATTCTTACTGGAGTTTATAGCCTGGTTTGTCCTTTTCTTTTCTCTCCGGACTGCTTGTTCGACCATTATTGCTCTCTTTTGGTTTTTGTTATTGAGGCTGCCTACTGTCAATCAGAATTTCCTGCTACTGCCTGTTCTTTGCTTCGTCTACCCTATTTTGTTGGTGTTTTTCTCCCCAGATCCGGATTCCCGAGTCCCCGTTGTTGCTGCTTGATTGCTACTGGGAGTTTTCTTCTCTGTTTCCGGTGTGCCTATGATTGCTCCTAGCCAATCGGAGTTAATCCCAACATTTTGTCCCAGGCCCTAGTGATTTCTGACGCAAGCTTCCCATTGGAATTGTTATTTCCAAATTTTTTGTCGAGTTGCACTATTGTTGTTGGTATTTTGGTTGCCGGACTTCTTATTCGTGACCACTGCCCACAACATTTGATTTCATTTTATCATTTATTATTTTTACTTTGGGCCTATGTCTCAAGGAGGTCCGTGTTTTGTAAGTGGCTGGGGCCATGGTCGCGGCATCGGTGGAGATCACAGGTCCAAATGCGGTATTGGTGATGTTGGTGGTTCTATTCTTGGTTCGGGTGGCTTTGTTCCAGCTGCAATGCATACATTACTGGCTAATTCAACTGGTTTTGGTCCGGTTAATAAAGCTGGGGCCACCACAGGGCTTAATCAAGATCAATGGCGCACGTTATTAAATTTGTTACATTCGGCTAAATTTGGACCCAATGAAAAACTTTCTCGTAAGCCTTTCTCCGACAAGTGGATGTATGACTCAGGTGCCACTCGTCATATGACGGGCTCTTTTGAATTTTTCCGTGATGTTTTCGATATTTCTGCTGTTCCGGTTCACTTGCCCAATGGCCAATGTACTTATGCTACTAAAGCCGGTTCCGTTGTTCTTAGCAGTAAATCGGTGCTACAGGATGTTCTTTATGTATCTCGTTTAAAGTGTCATTTAATCTCTGTTTCACAACTATTACGGGATTCTTCTTATGCTGCTCACTTTACTTATAATTTGTGTATTATACCAGACTTGCATTCAAGGAATCTGATTAGAGCGGGTAAGCAACGTAAGGGGCTTTATTTTTTTCGAGCAATCGAGACTGCCACCACTGTGGTGGCTACTGGATTATCTTCCTTTGATTGTTGCATCAGCGACTGAGACATCCATCACCCAAGGTTTTGGAACTTCTTTCTCATATTCGTTCTTGAAAAGCTAGTCGTTATTTTAATACTGCTTGTGATGTTTGTTCTCGAGCCAAGCAGATTCGAGATACTTTTCCTACCAGTGTTACTAAGACTACTGCTGTTTTTCAATTAATTCATTGTGATCTTTGGGCCGTATTAGACTCCTTCCTTTTTTGGAGCTCGATATTTCTTGACGATTGTTGTTGATTATTCCCGGGCTACTTGGATTTATTTGTTGCTAGATAAGAAAGAGGTTTCTTTGCATCTACATAATTTTTTTGCTATGGTTGAGCGCCAGTTTGACACATCAGTGCGAACGGTTCATACTGATAATGGTACTGTGTTCACCTATATGACTGCTTACTGTCATCAGCATGGTATTTTACATGAAATCTCCTGTATTGGCACTCCTCAGCAGAATGGTCGTGTGGAGCGTAAGCACCGGCATAATCTTAATGTTGCCCGTGCTTTACGTTTTCAGGCCCATTTACCTATTGATTTTTGGGGTGAATGTATTTGAACAGCTGGATACCTGATTAATCGTACTCCCTCGAGTATTTTGCATGGCAAAACTCCCTACAAATTGTTATATAGCAAACCACCTTCGCTTTCTCATTTGCTTGTGTTTGGTTGCTTATGTTATGTGCACAACCAGGATCGGAATGGGGATAAGTTTTCCAGTCCTAGTCACAAGTGTGTATTTGTTGGGTATCCATTTGGAACAAAAGGTTAGCAGGTTTATGATTTAGAGTCTGGGATGTTCTTTGTGTCTCGGTATGTTGTTTTCTCTGAGTCAAAATTTCTTTATTTGTCCCCACCTGCTGCTGATGAACCTACTTCTTTATTTCCTCCGGCTGTCGTTCATGATGATGATGATGATGATGATATTCCCATTTAAACGGGACAACCGGATCATTCTCCTACTAGACCTTTTTCTACCTCTTCTCCAAGGGATGCTGCCTCGTCTTCTTCTGATATGGCTAGTCCTGTTTCTAGAACCTCCGATGACTGGGAGGGGGGGAGGGGTACGACTTCTAGTGGTCCGCCGGAAGAACTTCTGGCTCGTGGTCGTCATATCAAGTTTCGCTCCACTCGCCTTCGAGATTTTGCAACCCACACTATTCTTCCCGTAAGCCCCTCTCTCAGCTCCTCTGCTTCGTCAGTTTCCTAAGCTATGTCCTATCCTTTACACAAATATGTGAGTTGTGACACTTTTTCTTCGCAACATAGTGCTTTTCTGGCTAATGTAGCTGCAGTTGTTGAGCCACGCATTTTTGCAGAGGATATGCGAGATGTTCGTTGGTGGACTACTATGCGACAAGAGATTCATGCTCTTGAGAATAATGACACTTGGACATTGACATCAGTTCCATATGGGAAGCGTGCTATTGAGTGCAAATGGGTGTTTAAAATTAAATACTACTCTGATGGTTCGGTTGAGCGCTATAAGGCGCGTCTTGTGATCCTTGGTAATAATCAGATTGAAGGTCTTGACTATCATGAGAATTTTTCCCCCGTCGCCAAAATGGTGATTGTTCACACCTTCCTTGCTATTGCTGCTGCTAAAGGTTGGGAGTTACATCAAATGGATGTTCATAATGCGTTCTTACATGGTGACCTCACAGAAGAAGTTTATATGAAGTTACCGCCGGGTTTCTCCTGTTCTCAGCCTGGTACAGTGTGTCGTCTTCGGCACTCGCTTTATGGTCTCCGTCAGGCTCCTCGCTGTTGGTTTGCAAAATTGACAGGCACTCTACATCAGTATGAGTTTCAACAATCCACCCCTGACTATTCCTTTATTTACTATGACGCAAGCTGTTGTGCAGATTAATGTCTTAATCTACGTTGATGATCTTATTCTTTCTGGCAATGACACTGCCGCTCTTTAGTCCTTCAAAGAGTACTAGCATCGTTGTTTTCATATGAAGGATCTCGGGGTCTTTAAGTATTTTTTGGGTCTTGAGGTCGCTCGTCATTCTTCGGGCATATTTCTTTGTCAACGCAAGTATGCTTTGGACATTATTTCGGAGGTGGATTTATTAGATGCTAAACCGGCTGAGTTTGCTCTTGAGCAAAATCATGATCTTTCTTCCATTGCTGATGCTCCTTTTTCAGGTCCTGCCCGCTATCGACCCTTGGTCGGTTGCTTGATTTATTTGGCTGTAACTCGTCCTGAGTTCTCCTATTTTGTTTACATTTTGTCTCAGTTTATGCATAAGCCTATGCAAGCTCATTGGGACGCTTTTGTTCGTGTTGTTCGTTATTTGAAGGGCACTCCTGGCCAAAATATTTTTCTTCGTGCTGATTGCGATTTACGGCTCTCCGCCTGGTGTGATTCTGACTGTGCCAGTTGTCCTTTGACTCGGCAGTGTCTTACCAGTTGGTTCATTGAACTTGGTGCTTCTCCTATTTCTTGGAATAAAAAAAAATAATATACTGTTACTCGTTCCTCGGCTGAAGCTGAGTATCA